AAACCCCTCTACAACAGCCCAGCAAAGGGAAGGCAGGGGGGAAACAAAGCTGTTTCAAAACACCCAGGTGTAAAAACAAGATCTCAATCACAAAGCTATTTGCCTAGATGATTTAAGAGCCCTGCCAAGCAGGTGAGAGTGCCACAACTGCTTGCAGTGCCATCACCCCACACAACGTGCAGACCCACTGCAATGCCAGACTTGAGCTACCCACACGTGCCAACCTTCAGAGCCCATCTAAACTGAATTGCTGTCCTAATTTGTCAGGACTTACTTCCCAGGGTGTTGCAGATGAAGCTGGAAGACAGCAGTTGAGCCACAGAGTTTGATATTTCAGCAGCAGGTTGAAACAATACCTGCAGACTCAGCTCCAAGGGAATTTAGACACAAATTTACACATAAAACACACAGACTCCAATGCAATTCTAGACAGCACTAAGGCAGAAGGCTTAGCACGCTTCTAGGTGAGACGATAGGGAAGGAGCCACAAAGCCATGCAAGGATGCCTGCAAGACAATACACAGCTAGCCTGCCAGGTACTTCACAAGTTGGACTTGATGCTCCCTACAGATCCTTTCCAATTCAGGGTATTGTATGAAATATCCACGGTTTGTAACATGGATCTGGAGAGGAAAACTTCCCATTTCTGCACACAGACTCATTGATGCTCCCCATCATCTCTGGTACCAGTTCCCAGCTGGAGCACCAGGCTTGATTTTCTCTAACAGTGCTGTGGGGATTCCTTACCCAGGACAGGGATGGTAGGGAAGAAGTACTTCACCCAGTGCAGGACCTCAGCACCAATTCCTGCCAAAATACACATGATGGGGTACAGACCATTAGAGAAAATTTCTCTCCCAAAAGAGCACTGATGCACAGGTACAGGTTGCCCATGGAAGTGGTGCAGCCTGGTCTGGTGACCCTGCACACAGCAGGAGAGTTAAAACTGGATGATCATTGTGGTCCTTTTCAACCCAGGCCATTCTATGATTCCATGAGTTAAGAGATGTTGTGAGTGGCACAGCACTCATACCAGCTGTTGAAGAACTGTAGAGATGTGGTACCGAGGGACACAGTTCATGGGCATGGTGGGATAGGTTGGGCTTGATAATCTCAGATGTCTTTTCCAGCCTTAACGATTGTATGATGTTACTGTATGCCTTCACTGCTATCTCAGCTCACGTCTCAGTCTCTTTATAAACCATCCTGATCTTTGCTCAGAAATGCAGATTTGAGACTTTAAAGCATCCAGCTTCACAGAACAACCTACCTTCATGGCAGAGCTACCAATACTGGAGTTGGACTCCATCCCTTCTGAGTCCCTTCCAACTCTGGATATTCCACAATTCTACATTTGCTGAAAACAGATGTCTTATCATCAAAACACAAGCTGGAAGACTCAGAGGCAAGAGAGAATAAAATAAGTTTTTATTGGCTTCCACAAGGAAGCAATAAAACACCCAGGAGAAAGGACCCAAGTGTCAAGACTGAGAAGCATTTTAGTGCCTGTGCATCTGCACTGATTTGGGCTCAACATTCAATGCAACAACAGCCAGTACTAACTAAAAATCAGACAGGCAATACCTTAAGCCCTAGATTTCTTCGGGTTATCCTGTATTAAACACATCTGTGCAAGCAGCCCAGCATTTCATGACAATGGTTAATTGTCAGGGTTTTATGGGCCGTGCTACGTTTTGTTGGCTCAGTACTTAATCCCACACAGAGGTCTTTTTAAAAACAGAATTACAGTAAAGTGCATCCAATTATGCTTGCAGCAAGCTGTACATCCATCATACCAAGATTAACATCTTGACAGGACAATGGCAGAGCTGTTACCATGCCTGTGATTTGATTTAACATTACCTGCCAGCGCCCAGCCCCTTTGCAGGGGGAGATTTTTGGATTGTGGACCAATGCTACACTAAGGTAGGAGGAAACCTTGTAGCTTGCCATAAGATCTCTAAAAGAGAATCTGGATACCACCTTCAGCTAAGAAAGCAAACTGCAATGACCAGATAAGGCGTGTAAAGGCTCACAGATAGTCTCCTTAAAAGTTTTCCTGCCAGAGATTCAGGAACTATGCTTTAAGCAGGGTGTGCATCAAACACCAGGGACCAAACCAACACAGACAGCATTGGAGATCTCTCTACAAATGGTCTTCAACGGTCTGCATAGCACAAAAGGGTAATACCAAGCTCCTTAGCACAAATAGGAAACAAAAGCTTCACAGAGTGACCAGGCATTGGCACAGGCTGCCTAAGGAGGTGATGTAGTCACCACCCCTGGAGATGTGACACTGAAGGACATGGTGGGGTGAATGTGATGACCTTGGGAGGTCTCTTCTAACCTTAATGATTCTACGTGAAAGAGACCTTTAGACTCAAGGGCTTCTTTCAACCAGCTTTAAGAAAGCAAGAAAACAAGATGAGGATGAAAAGATATCATTCCCACATTCACTTTTCACTGTGTTTAAAGAACATCAGAATCTTTGGTGCATGAGCTCATTTTGGAGTTGGAAATGAGCTGTGCAAGGGAGGGTCTTGCATTGCCTGGAAAAAAACTTAATGCTTTCCTCACTTCCCAAAGCTGGAAACAAGTGCTATAAATGCACAGCATTCATGGGTTAGGGATTCAAAGCACAGATATAGAAGAAAGTAACCAGAGAGCAACAGCAATGCAAGGGAATTTCTGAACTTCTCCACTCCCTTACAGAGTTAAGCAAGTAGCATTACATGCAGAAATACCTTGGCCATGGCATAGTTAGACTTAATTTCTAGGAATAACTTAGATTGAAAACAAGGATTGTTTCCCCACTGCAATCCCTCCACCCCCAGCAGTTCAGGCTGCTTTCACAGGTCAAGTTGAGCCTCAGCAACTCTTCTTTCAACCACCCAAGAAATCAGCCATGCCTCCATGTCCAGAGACTGATTTGATATGTACAGAAATCAACTCTGGAAGATGCTTCATCAAAAGCACCTTTGATGAAGAGCTGACAGCCTAGATAAATTAAACACATGGATTCTGAGGAGCCCTATGCTTGATAATCACTAAAGAACCTGGATTTTTTGATACCTGGCCCAATTGGTCACTATCAAACAAACAAGGCTCACTTTACACCTTTCCTTCTTAAAGCCTGGTTTTAAGATTACCACCCTTGTGTGCTGGAGTCTCCTTTCCGAACATCAGAAGTCCATTTTTTTCTTTAAGCATCCCAAACAGCTGAAGAAAAAGGATACAACCTAATTCCACCACAAATATCACTGCTAGAGGCAAATACACACTTTTTTTTTTTGTCCTGTTTTGAATGGAAGGGAAAACATTTACAAAAAGCCCAGGAGGACACATAAGGAAAGTCAAACTTCTTCACATGCAGAAGAATCCACAGCACGTACATTCCTTATCCCCAGAAAACACACCCCAAGGCATTAAGTCCAGACTCATCACAAAGCAGTGGGTCCTCTTCAGTCTTTCAATTAAGATGGCATTTGTAAAATTGCAGGCTTGAAAATTGCTAGATATAATCCATAAAAAGTCACCACTCAGGTTCAGAAAGCAGACTGATGTAGTCAGGCACAGGTCTGCACCACAGCACGTTTACTGAATCAACATTTCTAGCAAGTGCACTCTGTAGATCTATCAGGATTTGCACCTGCTATGAAAGCCAGGTTTGCTACATGGTCTTCTTTACCACCTGCACTGTGGGCTTAAAATCATGCAATGGGGGCAAAAGCACAGAGGGTGGAAGTGCTAGAGTAGTGCTGCACTGTGCTTTTAGCACCAGTCCCAACAAACACCACTCCACAGACCCTCCTCTCCTGCACAAAGCTATCCTGCAGCTGGCATAAATGTTTAAGATTTAGGGGAAATTGGCACTTGGAGACAAAATTCCTAGGAGCAGGTAACTATGTTTACAAATAGAGCCTGGCACATAACAGTATTTCTACACACTGGGGACATATTGAGGATCGTTTAAATGCAACATTGGACACCCACACACAATTGATGCTTTTTGTTGCCACTGTTCAACCAGCCAATTTCTCAACAAATTGTCTCCTAACAACACCCAAAAGCAACCAACCTTCACCAATGCCATGTTGTCCTGCGGCTTGCACCTTCTCTAGGAGCCAAGGGCAGGGACCAGCCTCACTCAACACACTTATCACAACAAAACACAACTCATGGCTGCAGTCCTGGATTCACATGCTCTACAAGGCAAGGCAACTAGAAATATCCATTAAATTTGCTGATGCAAAGCTATGTTTGCAAGAGGGGATCTCCTGCTTTATACTGCAGGCACCTGACCACTATCAGAATTATCTAACAGGTCATTTTCCCCCTTATTTCCACTACATGCCTCAATGCAGCAGGTGTGGGGATTGACTGCAGCCAGCACAGTTAAACCCAGGAGGCACAGGCTACACCAAAAGCCCCTCTGCACTCTTACTTTTTTTAAACCAGCAGCTGCTGGAGAGCAAAAACTGACCTGAACTCACCTCTAACATTCTAAAATAATGAAAAACAAAACAAATTTCACACATACAACCGGGTTTTAGAAGTGTCAGAATGACACTGAAGTTAGAGACAGTATGTGCACCAAAAATAAATTGCTCAGTGGAAAGCATCTCTCCACCAGCGACCAGCCTGCTACTGCTTTTGCTGCTGCAAAACCCCAGGCTCCAAACTCAGAACCATCTCCCTCCAGGCCTGCCCCAGGATTTGGGCCACATTTTAAGAAGCAAGATCTTAATTTCGCAGGGGTGGTTGCAAAGTCACCGAGCCCAATGCTGTGCTGTACAGCCCAAGTGGATGCACTGGGGAAGCGCTTCATATTTTGGGAGAGAGGGAAGGGAAAGATGATGCAGATGGCTTGAGAGCAGCTCAGCAGCCAGTTTTTAGTGGGTTTTCCTATAGTGACACAAAAGAACTCAGCAGCTGAAAACCGAAGTGCTCAGAGAAGAAGGGGAGGAACTGCTTTCGTCCCGCCGAGCTCCATCACTCACCAGCAGTGTTGGGCGGCACCTCCAGGTTGACGTTGACGAAAAATCGGATGCTGTCCCCTGAAACGATGGAGGAGTTCACGGCATCAAAGAGCTCCTCTCCCCCCGTCTCCTCCTTGGCCTCGCAGCCATCGTCCGTGTCACACTTGAGGTACCCTGCCAACGAGAGGGGCACGCAGTTACAACCTTGCCGAGAGCTGCGCTGGGCCCACGCGGGCACACATACGAACCCATGGCTGCCGATAAGGGCTGAAGGTGCACAGCCTTCACGGCCCCACAGCCTTGCAAGGGCCTTCGCCACGTCCTCACGGGGCAGCTGCCACAGGGAAGAGACAACGGGCTCCCACATGGGTCCCCAGAGCAGGCAGCAGGGCCAGCGTCCAACACAGCTGCCCTGCAGTCCGGCCACATGCTCGTGGACTGCATTTGGGTGCAGGAGGGTGGGAGCTCTGGCACCAAGCTGCAGCGTCACTAACGGCCTAACGGCACCAACTGAACCTCCCTGGCACCAACTGAACCTTCCTGCAGCTCGGCACCAGAGCCTGGAGGGGGGGAGGGGGGTGGTCAGGTTTTATTCCCCATTGGTGGAACTGACACACAACGCATCTCCAGGTGCACCACTGAGCAGCTGTGCCTCCTCACAAGGATGCGGAAAAGTTAAGGCTCTGCCTGCAGCAAGCCAGGCCTTCAGCAGAACAACACCAAGCAACAGGCTCTTTCAGACCCCAAATCTGGATGAAATCTTGGCCTGCAGACCCCAAACGTTTGCATTTTTCAGCTGTGCCACTGCCTTAACCCAAGGTGTTCACCCACTCCGCACACAGCAGGGCAATCACTGTGCTGCCAATCCAGCAGTTTTAACCCCAGGGAAAAGCAGTGGTTTCCAAGGAGATGCAGATGGACAGACAGACTTGGAGCTCCCCACAGAGCTGAGCAGCAGGTCACAGGAGGGGACAGCACAGAGGAGGAGAGACACATTTCTTAATTACAGCAGACAACTCCTCACCCTTTTGCAACATTTTAATTAGAGTTTAACCTAGTTGCATTCAGCAGCAAAGCTGGTTTGCTGTGATGCTTTCTTGCAGGGCAGCTGGAGGATTCTTGTGGTGTGCTCCAACTTTGTTCTGTTAGAAAAATTAGTGACATCATAGAACGTTATTTTATTATTATTATTTTTAACGCATTGCTAGGATTATTCAGCAGCTCCTACCCATCTCCTGACAAGTCTCTGATGCCTAATTTGAAGCAAAAAGGAATATATTTCATTAGCTCGCTTTGGCCACTGTTACACAATAAAGACAGTGAGCTTCAAGGCAGAAGATTCAGTAGAAACTCTCAAATATTGATTGCTTTTAAAAAGTGAACATGAATGCAGCAGCACCAAGAGAAGCAGCTAAAAGCAGTGCATACAGTCTTGCAGGGATCTCAAGCCAATTGCTCAGCACTGCAAAAAAAAAACAACCAACACTGCGAGCAAGGGAAGCCACAAACAGGAACTCTGCAACGCAGGACAAGGGCTGCAGCCCTTCCTGCTGCAAGCTGCACACCAGGGCGCTCCTCATGAGTGCTCAGCATCTCCCAGGAAGGACCTGGAGGGCACAAGGGGCTCAACGAGCTCTTACACAGCTTCTTATTTGCTTATCTGAGGTGTGGGATGCCAAATAAACTCAACCCTCCTTACCACCTTTGCCTCAATGACTGGAGAAAAACTGACCCATCTAAACTGCTCTGAAGGCTTCAAGAAATATCCAAGCTCCTGCTGTCTTCCTTCAGCTCAGACAGCCAGCACTTTGCACGAAGTGCAGTTCTCTGCTGTTGCTGGTGCTTAGGCAGCTGTTTGTATCCCTATTGTATACAATAGCCAGAAGAAAGGGGGATGATAAGAGCACAGAACAGACTTTGGCATCACAGCCACCATCAGGCATGAAATAGGGCTGGCAGATGCACCAGGACCAAAGGGCAGCCTGTGTCCTGGAAGGACAGACATGGTGCCAGTGCTATCAACCCCTGTGCAAACATTTCAGTCCCAAGCAATATGCTAGACCTGAGGCTTGGCTCTTCCAAAATATGTAATAACCATAACCTCTCCTCACCAATGCAAAGCTCTCATTATTGGTGTTAACACCACCCCGATGTCACAAGAGCTCAGGCAGCCCTACAAAGGGAAAAAATCAGAAGAAAGATCAAATCAGCCCAGGGTAAGCCAAAAATCCACGATCCTAGCTTCTCCATCTCAACCATATCTGAGATGGTAGCCCCAGGGAAGATGTCAAAACAGGTCTCACATCTCCATCCTTTATGCTGAGTGGGTCAGACAGAAGGTACACGAAGTGGGATTTAAGCACGCAGCACATGGTTGACCTTTTTCTCCCCCTCAACCTATCCCTGTGCAATTAAGGTTCAGGTAAGAACAAAGCAGGAAAGCTTATACATTTGCTTTCCAAGCCCTGAGAGCAGAGAAGGCTGGAAATGGGAGAGAAATGGTGCAGGAGCTGAAAGAAGGGCAAGGGTGGAGTAAGATCCCAGGGTTGGGCAGAGGTCAGCAAGGACTCTGGCAAGGGAAGCATCCTCAGTTCCTCCCTCCTTAGGGGAGGAAAGAGCAAAACAAAAGGCAGCCGAGCCACACGTCCCCTGGGCAAGGGACAGACAAAAAACACTGCTTGCAAATAATCCCAAACCTGGGCTGTACAGGAACTGCAATCCCAGACAGGTGTCTGCTTTATCATTAAACCCGCTCCTGTTTTGAATCCAGCAGCTCATTAAATCTGCCAGGTATTAAAATGTGAGCAGCTTATGCCTGTTGAGAGCAGGAGCACCTCAAGGCGTAGGCATGGCAGATGCACCTTCACTCCAAGGACAGCACAAAAGTTGCCTCCATCCCTAGCAGCTGCTTTCTCCCATCACCCCAAGGATCACTGTGTCACTATATATGACAGGGTCAGTATGTCAGACTGAGCACAGAAAGTGCCACTTCAGTCTCAAACAGAAGGCAGAAACACCACACCAAAGATTTTGCAGTCTGAACCCAGAGTTAGGAATCAAGGTCATGTTGGCTGTAAAGATCAATCAGCAGAGCCCCTTCAGACCTTGAAAAAACACCTACAGTCAAGAAAATTCCCTTCAGGACTCATCTGATAAGGGACAGAAACAGAAAAGAACAAAAAAAGTAGCCCAGAACAGGTACAATCCTGCAGGAACAAAATTCCCTCTTAACTGCAGCTAGCCAGAACCAGTCTTGACTTTAAGTCCCTCTGTGCTTCAGCCCATTACCTGCAATGTGAAAATAAGCCACTAACCCCATTTTATGCAGGTTCTGGGAAGAAAAATACAGTTTTTCCTCACCATTCTCCTCTAAATCATCATCCTACTCTTAGTAAATCATGCCTGGCCCAGAACTGACTTCTTCCACCTCAGTACCCATGCCAGTCTCTCTCTTTATTGCCATCAATTTTGTCAGAGCTTCTCCAGTCCTACTGCTATCAGCTATCCAAACATAGACGACATGATTACACTTACAGCTTTTTTTTTAATTATTATTATTTTCTTTTGAAAATAAAACAGGGTCTGTGAGAACCCTGGGCTCTGACTGGGAGAGCAATGAATTGGCCTGCAACCATTGGAGGTGGCAGTATCTCTCCTGCTTATGTGTTAGCAGCACCTAGCAGCTGCAGCAATAAAATCAGGAATAGCTTTCAGAAAGTACAACTTCATTCCCATTCCCTAGAAAGGTCTACAGACTCCAAGGAAACAAGGTCTTAAAAAAGCAGCTATTTTCCTAACAACATCCCAAGGTTGGAAGAGGCTCTGAGCAGCCTGGTCTGGTGGCTGGCAACCCTGCCCACAGCAGGGGGGTTGAAACTAGATGATCTTTGAGGTCCTTTTCAACCCAGGCCATTCTTTGATTCATTCTATGACATCATCCCATAACCCAAGCCAGACATAGCCATATCATAGCCCTTGGGTGTATCTCAGAAGAAACACACAGCCAATCATGGTATTAACCAACATCTGCCAGCATGAGGTTAGGTTTGCAAATTCATCTACCCACTATGCTTCAGTTTAGATATATTGCTTTCCTGTGCTATTCATCCACATAGCTGCAACAGCAGAGCAAAATAGGAAGATGAGAATCAGAGCTCATCATCTGCTTCTGGCAAAATCCCTGCAAAAATTGCAGCCTTTGTTTTTGAAGTACCACAATGTTAACACTACAAATACTTAGAGCAATCTCTTTGAAACAGTCACCTCACCCTCAAGGTAAGATCTACCCTTAACTATCCTCCCAAAGGTAGTCTAAGCTACAAGTCTGGAAAAAACCAAAGTAGTGCTCCCACTTACAGCACCTGCTTTGCACAGCATTGCCAAATCCTTCAGCCAAATCCATGCCCCAGCTCCCTGCTCTTTTTCCAAAATGGTAATGATCCCCCCTTCTGAAATCTCTTAATGCCAGGAAGCTAAGTGGCATTCAAAGAGATCTTTTCGAGCACAGAGATGGCAATTCAACAAGATCAGCTCATCAGATTTAAGAAAACAGATGATTTTTAATGAAATTTCTAGGCACAGATGGTAGCTAGTTGCAGGACAGTCATTTTTCCAGTGCAGTATTGGTCACCTCACCAGAATATCAATAACAATGTGCACTGCTCTCCTGTCAGATTCAGCCAGACATTTTACCTTCACTGCTTTGGATATTGGTTTGGTTTTTTTTTTTTGATCACTAATCCTAATACATCCCAAACTGAAATCAAGTGGTTTGCCTCCCTCTTTGCAACTCAAGCCATGCTCTTCATACAAGCCAAATGCACATCTCTGCCACAGTTAAAATTCAGAGAATCACTAAGGTTGGAAAAGACCACTAAGATCACCAAGTCCAACCATCAACCCATCACCACCACATCCACTAAACCTCGTTCTTCAAATCAAGCATAGGATTTTACAGGTTCTTGTTCTGAAAGAGCCTAGAAGCACATCCACTTTCTCAAAAGGGAACTCAGATTAATTGTGAGATTAATTACGGCAAGATTAACAATAATAATATATGTCCTACAGTTTTTAAAAGTAAGGGGACACAGAATCATAGAAAGGTTGGGGTTGGAAGAGACCTTTAAGATCATCTAGTTCCAACCCCACTGCTATAGGCAGGGATACCTCCCACT